TCTCGTGATTTCCTCAGAATTTTCACATTTTTGACCCAATCCAGTTGCCAGCTCCTTTCCCAGAATGGCCAAATCTGATTATTTCTGTGTCTTTCCCAAAAAAACCCCAAATTCTCTTTTCCTTGGCCACTGACCATCACTCAACCAGAGGAGAAATCCACAAAATCTTTCTTTTCACTCCCACTTTTCCACCAGGATGGAACAGATCCCACCCGAGTTCAGGTTCGCTTTAAAAAAAAAAAAAAAAATAAAATCTCCAACATCATTTTATTTCATTTTATTTTTATTCCCCCACCAACCCCCCTCAAGGTTCAGGATAAATGGTACAAATGTAATAAATGTAAACTGCACTTGGCACCGTCGGGGGCGGGGGGGGGGGTCAATAAATAAAATTAAAAAAGGGAGCGAGCGCGGGAGCGTTTGGGAGGCGGCGCTTTGGGGATCGAAATAAATAAGATAATTTACTCCAATAAATAGCAGTATCCAAAATAAAGATGCATTGCATCCACTTGTGCAGCCGGACAGAGCCCGGCCATTCCGGAGGGGAGCAGGAAAATCCGGCTGCAACAGGAATCCCTTCTCCCCTTTTTTGTTTTGGTTTGGTTTTTTTTTTTTTGTTGTTTTTTTTTTCTTTCCCCCTCTTTTTTCCCTTTTCTCCTATTTTTTCCCCATTTTCTTTTCCCTCTTTTTACCCTTTTCCTTTTATTTCCTTTTTTCTCTTTTTATTTTTTCTCTTTTTTTCCCCTTTTTACCTTTTTCTCCGTTTTTTCCCTTTTTCTCTTGTTCCCTCCCCTTTTTACCCTGTTTTTCTTTTTACTTTTTTCTTTCTCCCCTTTTCCTTTTATTTCCTTTTTTCTCTTTTATTTTCTCTTTTTTCCTCTTTTTTCCTTTTTCTCCTATTTTTTCCCTTCCCCCTTCCCCCCCTTATTTCCCCTTTATTTCCTTTTTCCTATTTCATTTCTTTTCCCCCTTTTCCCTCTTTTCCCCTTTTTTCCTTTTTCTCTTTCCCCTCTTTCCCCTCTTTTCTTTTAATTTCATTTTTTCCCTTTTCTCCTCTATTATTTTTCCTTTTCACCCTTTTTCTCTTTTTTCCTCCTTCCCTTTTTACCTGCTCTCATTTCCCCCATTTCCACCTTTTCATTTTAATTCCTTTTTCCCCTTTCCCCCTTTCCCCTTTTTTCTCCTTTATCTTTTCCCTCTTTTTAATTTTTTCTCCCCCCTACTTTTTCCCTTCTCCCTTTTTTCTTTTTTCTCTCCCCCTCTTTCCCTCCTTCTTCTTTTATTTCCTTTCCCCCCTCTTTTATAAAATTTCCTTTTTTTTTTTTTCCCCCTTTTCTCCCCCCTCCTTTTGGGCCTCCCCTTCGAGTCCACGCTTTGTTTAGCCCAGAAGGAAAACACGTGGCAGCCCCGTTCCAAATTTACAGCTCTGAATCCCACCAAAATATCATTTATCTTGATAAATTGGGAAAATCCCTTCTCCCCAGCAGGATCCTGGAGCTCTTTAAACCCAGAACATTCTCTCGGCTTTCATCGAGTGGAAACGACGATGTTGGACCCAAATTCTCCCTCCCGTGGATCCCAAATTGAGATCCCGAGGGATTTCTGGGGTGTTTGGATCTGACCCCGAGCTGGAGCCGGATCCTGCCTCAAATCCTGATGGAAAACTCCCCTGGAAATCCCAAAACTCAGCTGGGAGAGCACAACCCTGTGGATTTTAAACATCTCCTGGTGTTTCCAGACCTCCTGCTCTTCCAAACCCTCCTCTCCTGGGAGGAGCTGCAGCCCCAGACAAGCAAAAACCCAACCCCAAAATCCCCTCAACAGCTGTTGCACACTGGTTATTATTATTATTAATAATAATATTAATAATAACAATATTAATATTAACCAGCACACGGGATGCTGAGGAAGGAGCCAGAATGAGATTTCTGCTGTGGCTTTTGAGGAGGGAATTTTCCACTTTTTTTTTTTTTTTTTTTTTTTTTTTTTTTTTTTTTTTTTTTTTTTTTTTTTTTTTTTTTTTTTTGAGCATTGTAGACATTCTTCCGGGCAACTGCAGCTCCTATTACAGCAGAGGGGGCTGGAGAAATGGAAAGCATTAGGGAAAACCTCAGTTTTTCTATTGGAACCACATTTCCAGGCCCGGGTGGCAGCGGGATGGCACCGGGAATGCTGGAGGAGCTCCATGAGGAGGAGGAGGAGGAGCCCTGAAAAAGCAAAATTCATCTTTTTGGCCACACCACCATGCCACAGCTCACCCCATCGGGGAGTTTTGTGGCTGAAATTCCCATTTGTTCCCAAAAAAAAACAAAAAAAAAAACAAAACCCAGCAGGAGCAGCGTGAGGCAGATGGGGAACATCCCCTCCACACGGGCTGGAGCTCCACTGCCAGCAGGGGGAAATTTAAATTAAAAAAAAAAAAAAAAAAAGCAAAGAAATGATGGTTTGGAGCTATTCCTGCTGGTTTTAACACACCATTGTCTTGAGCCAGGTTTTAATCCCGGTTTTGGGGGCTCCAGGCTGGATTTGCATTGGGAATGGGGGGGGGTTGGCAGCTGGGAGATGTCCCAGCCCTGCTGCTCCCTTGTCCCCTCATCCTCCTGCTGCTGCCACCACCACCCACGAGAGGAGATTCCCTTGGGCCATCGAGGCACCTAAATCCCTGGATTCTGCCAAAAAAAAAAATAAAAAAATAAAAAAAAAATTAAAAAATCCCAAACCAGGGTGCAAATTCTCTGCACGAGCAGAGGCAGCTCCTGCTCCAAATCCTCCTCAGGGCACCGGGTCCTGCTCTGCTTCCACTGCTTTGCTTTTTTACTGCAACAAAACTAATTTTAGTTTTATAGCAGCGAGACCTGGAAAGCACCCAAGCCCTTGAGAGGACAGTTGTTATTATTGTTATTATTATTATCATTATTATTATTAGATTTGGGTGCTTTTTTTTTATTTTTTTCCTTCGAGTGAGCTGCTTATCCACTGCGAGCTCCTGCTGTCCCATCTGCCATTCCCATCCTCCTTTTTTTTTGGGGCCACTTTTCCCATTTCCAGCTAAAATCAGGGCTGCAAACTCACATTTTTGGTTCAGGAGCTGCACCTGCAGCGTGGAGTTTTATCCTCTCTCAGTTCCCATTTCCTGGGTGAAGCTTTCACACCCCACACCCACGGCTGGGTCCTGCCTTTCCCAAAATCCAGGGAAAACTCGGTGTTACAGACTCCAGGCTGCTGAAGGATGGTGTTTATATTCCTCCACTACACCCTGGCTCCACTCAGTCAAGAGCTGAGTTTGGATAAAAAAGGAAGGGAAAGAAGAAAAAAAAAAAAAAAAAAAAAAATTCCCCACCAGCCTGGCTCTGTGTGGAGCTCGGGAATGTGGCTGGGCCAACATTGCTGCCCCTCAACTCATCCCATCCCAAAGGATGCCCCAATTCCTGCAGCACCATCCCTGTGCTGGGATCACAACCAGAAGCCCTCCTCCTCCTCCTCCTCCTCCTCTTCCTCGGGATGAAGGCACAAGGGAATTTTTTTTTTTCCCCCCCTTTTCACCCGGGAGAGGAGCCAGGACACCGAGGGGGTGGCACACGGAGTGTTTTCCCTCACGTTGGTTAATGCCCAGGACATGACACCAATATTCTCCTTCTGTTTATGATTTGCTTTTTCTGGGAATGGAGCCAAGGGGAGAAAACCCATCAATCCCAGGCAACAAATCGAGCCTGCCCAGGGAATGTGAAATCTGCGGGCTCATTTATTTCCCTGCAGAGTAAACAGCAGTGACACTGCTGTAAATGTGAACGGAGCCAAACCCAGGACTGAGTCCCCCTCTCCTGCAGGATTCCAGCCCCGAGCAGGGGATGGGGGGATGCTCCTGGGAGAGCCAGGGGGGTATTTTGGGAGACCAGGGCTCTGCTGGTGGCCCTGGGGAGGTTCTGTCACCTCCCTGGTGGTGGCCGGGCTCCAGCCCAGCTGCCCGTGGCAGGGGCACGGGAGGTTAATCCAGTTATTTCAGATTATCCCGAGTTTTAAGAAGAAAAGCCCCAGGGCTGCAGGAATGAGAAGATGGCAAAAGGGGCACAAGCCAGAGGGAGTCAGAGCCACGCACAAACCAGTGTGGGTGTTTCTGTGTCCCCAAAACACCGGGACCTGGGGTGGCTGGGACTCCCCCAGCAGCTCAGGGTGGGCACAAAATCCCCAAAGCTACGGAGAGAAGGACTCAGCTCCCACCCTGGGGCAGCACAGGGCACCTGACACACTCCAAAACCTGAAATGCACCCCAAAACACACCCCAGGTGTGCAGGACACCCCAAAACACACCCCAGGTGTGCAGGACACCCCAAAACACACTCCGAGTGTGCAGGACACCCCCAAACACACCCCAGGTGTGCAGGACACCCCAAAACACACTCTGAGTGTGCAGGACACCCCAAAACACACCCCGAGTGTGCAGGACAACCCAAAACACAGCTCAGGTGTGCAGGACACCCCAAAACACACCCCGAGTGTGCAGGACACCCCAAAACACACCTCGAGTGTGCAGGACAACCCAAAATACACCCCAGGTGTGCAGGACAACCCAAAACACACCCTAGGTGTGCAGGACACCCCAAAACACACCCTGAGTGTGCAGGACACCCTGTCCAGTACTGGCACGGCTCACATGTGCCACACCCCTGTGCCACACCCTGTGCCACACCCTGTGCCACACCCCTGTGCCACACCCTGTGCCACACCCTGACACCCCCGGCACGTGCAGGTCCCCACGCGGTCGCGTGGCCTGTGACACACAAGGCCACACGTGTGACCCGTGTGACACACGGCGCGCCGAGGCCTGGAGGCGTTCACACCCGCCGTCACCTCAGCAAGGGACAGGGCCGCCCGCCGAGGGGGGCGACGAGCGGCCATCACCGCCCCGACGGCGACACCGAGGCCTCAGTCTCCTCCTCCTCCTCCTCCTCCTCCTCCTCCTCCTCCTCGTCCTCCTCCATCCCCGCGCCCCGGCGGCCTCGTCACACGCAGCCACACTCCTTGGCCGACAGCTCGTTGACGGTGTAGTAACGGTTGTAGGCGTCCAAGAAGGACACGTCGTCGTCGTAGGCCAGCGGCCTGCAGCACGGCCTGGCCCTGATCTTCTCCTTGCGGATCTTCCTGCGGCCCCTCATGCTCCTGAGGGAGAGGTCGTAGCTGCGCACGGCGGCCTCGCAGGTGCCGCTGCAGTAGCGGAACAGGACGGTCTCGTCCGACTCGTAGCCCAGGCCCAGCTCGCTGACGCTCACCTGGAGCTGGCGGAGCTCGCAGGGTTTGTGGCGGGCGCGGGCGCGTTTGCTGCGGCCGCCGGCGCGGGGGAAGAGCGGCCGCCCGTGCCCGCCGCCCGAGGCCATGGCCTGGCGGTAACGCCGCAGCAGAGCCGAGAGCAGCTGGCGCAGCTCGCCCTCCGTGTAGCTCTCCAGCAAGGCGCTGTCTGCAAGAGGAGGGGATGGGGTTAAAGAAGGGGAAGGGGAGGGGGTGGCCACGAGGTGGGTGAGGGGGTGATGGGGTTACTGGGGTAGGGGGGGAGGTGGGAGGTTCGGTGTGGATGAGGGGGTTGGGATCGTCCAGGATGGAGGTGGTTTGGGGTGGGTGGAGAACCTCAGGATGGAGATTGTTTGGAGTGGAGAATATCCCCCAGGATGGAGATTGTTAGAGTGGAGAACATCCCCCAGGATGGAGATGCCCTGGAGTGGAGAACATCCCCCAGGATGGAGATTGTTTGGACTGGAGAATATCCCCCAGGATGGAGGTTCACTGGGGTGGATGAACATCCCCCAGGATGGAGATTCCCTGGAGTCTGAAGGTCCCTGAACATCCCCCAGGATGGAGATTCCCTCAACTGGGGAAGGTCCTCCAGGATGGAGATTCCCTGGAGTCAGTGGAGGTGGATTGGGATGGGAGATTCTCTGTGGATGAGGAGGTTGGGATCCTCCAGGATGGAGGTGGGTGGAGAACCTCAGGATGGAGATTGGATGGATGGGTGGACATTCCCAGGATGGAGATTCCCTGGATTGGGGAACATCCCTGAGGATGGAGATTCCCAGGAGTGGGTGGGATCCTCCAGGATAGAGATTTCCTGGGGTGAGTGGAGGTGGATTGGGATGGGAGATTCTCTGTGGATGAGGAGGTTGGGATCCTCCAGGATGGAGCTGCCTTGGGGTGGATGGATGATCCCTGGGATGGAAATTCCCTGAGGTGGGAGGACATTCCCCAGAATGAAAATTCCCTGAAGTGGCTGAACATCCCCTAGGATGGAGGCACCTTGGGGAACGTGGATTTGGGGAGAAGCATCAATAAATTTCCCTAATTTATGCTTCCTAATTTATGTTTCATAATTTATGTTTCATTTTTTATGTTATTTCACTGTGGGCTGGGACCCCAAGGGCTGCCCCTGGGACCCCCGGGCCAGCAGCCAGCACACAAAATGTGCCCAGGCACTGCTGGCAACCCCCCCACGCCTCTATCCCAGCCCTCAATCCAGGGTTATTCCAGCTCAGCTCCGCAGGAGGCACGGGAAAGACAGAGGAAAGCGGGATTTGACAGCTTGTCATGGATTTCCAAATTTCCCCCAAAAAAAAAAGCAGTTCCTCTGGTTTGGAATCAAAACAAACACGTGGGGATTTCCAGCCCTCAGGGAGCACCGAGGGGGGAGTTTGCTGCCGTGCCCTCATCTCCAGCTCCTGTTTGACATTTTCCATTTGTAAAAAATAGCACGGAACTGAAAATAAAAAAAAATACCAAAAAAGAGCTGTTTGAAGGGGGGAAAAAAAAAAAAAGCAGCTTCTTTGCACTAAACGAGCTGTTTGAGTTTCTGCTGTGTTCACACCAAAGCTCGGTGCCCAGCGCCTCCTGCTCGCTGCAAGTTTTTATTTAAACCCTCCTAAAGGGGATTTTTGGGTGCAGGAGAGGGCAGGGAGTGACCCCACAGGGGTTTGGGGGATCTGTGGGGTCAGGGAGGGGCTGGAGGAGCAGGAGCTTACACTGGGCCAGCAGGGAGCCGTGGCGTTGCAGGGCTCGTGGGGATCTCCGCGGAGCCGCCGGCAGCGAGGAGGAGGAGGAGGAGGAGGAGGAGGAAGAAGAAGAGGAGGAGGAGGAGGAGGAATCCCGTGAGGAAGACGGCGAGGGGCTGAATTCCCGGCTTCCGTTGAACATGTCTCTACAAACTAAAATGGATAACATGGAACTGAGGAGCATCGATGCAATGGCTGCAAACTTCCATACCTTCATCTTAGAGCAAGTCAGAACATTGAAACTCTGCAAAACAGGCAAAACAAAAATCCTTAATGCACACCCCGAGCCCCCCGAGCCCCCAGAACCCCCCAGAACCCCCCAGAACCCCTTCCCTCCCTCCCTCCCTCCCTTAGGATTGGGATCCTTGGCTCCAGCTCCTCCCCTCCTGCCACCAGCGCGGTGCTGAGAGGGGAAACTGAGGCACGAGGGATGTGCTGGAGAGGGACAATGCAGAGGGAAAGGTGGCTTGGGGCTGGTGGTGGCCATGGGGATGAGGTGGCAGCGATGGCATCGAAGTGGCACCAATAGGGACAAGGAGACACCAATGGGGACAAGGAGACACCAATGGGGACAAGGTGGCACCAGTGAGAATGAGGTGACAACAATGGGGATGAGGTGACACCAGTGAGGGTGAGGTGACACCACTGGGGACAAGGAGACACCAATGGGGACAAGGTGGCACAGTGAGAATGAGGTGACAACAATGGGGATGAGGTGACACCAATGAAGATGAGGTGACACCAATGGGAGTGGGGTGACAACAATGGGGATGAGGTGACACCACTGGGGACAAGGAGACACCAATAGGGACAAGGAGACACCAATGGGGACAAGGAGACACCACTGGGGACAAGGTGGCACCAATAGGGGTGAGGTGACACCTGAATGGGACATTGGGATGGAATTCCAGGCTGGCAGGGTGGGCAGGCCCTGGAATGGATTTCCCAGAGCAGCTGTGGCTGCCCCTGGATCCCCGGCAGTGCCCAAGGCCAGGGTTTGGAGCAGCCTGGGACAGTGGAACCTGTCCCTGCCATGGCAGGAGGTGGCACTGGATATTTAAGTTCCCATTCTGGAATTCCATGCCAATCAGGTGCCTTCAGATCAGATTTCACCCTGGAAATGAGGGCAGGAGCAGAAAACAGGCACAGAAAACCCCCTGGCATCCAGCAGGATCAGCGCTCAGCACTGCAGGACCAAGAAAATCCCAATTTACTCCTGGACAAAATGGGTGGAAATGAAGGATTTGTGAAGAACCAGCAACCCCAGGGGAGGGTTTGGGGAGGAAAGGACACTTTGTTCTGCTCTCCAGGAGGACAAACAGCTTTTAACAGCTGATTTTTGGGAGATGAATTCCACGGTGAACCATCAGCAGCAGGACCACACAAACCCCTGAGCTGAACCTGCATCAGCCAGAGGGGCTCAGCCCAGCTCGGGGAGGACAAGGCTGGGCTGGAGCAGGGCTCTGACACTCGATCCCACCACCTGAGAAAGGGCCTCTGGCTCCTTGCAGCCCCATAAAATTTTAGGAGAGCGGTTCCAGCCTCGTTGCACGTCCCATAAAAAAAAAAACCAAAAAAACTCCCATTCCGGCAGCCAGAAATCCTGGCCCCCACCCACTCGCCTGTGACCTTTCAAAAGACACAAATCCCGGCTCCAAAGTGCAAAACAATAACAACAAAGTTATTCCAGGCTTTGCTGTTGATTTCTTTTGCTCTAAAAAAGCCCCAGAACAGCCCTGTCCAACCTGGCCTTGGACATTTCCAGGGATGTCGGTGTTTCCATTTGTTTTTCCTGATAAATCAAAATCCAGCAACTCCATCCCTGCAGAGATTTTGGGGTTTTTTCGTCCACAAAAAAAATTGGAGCATTTGGGGTTCTTTGGTGTCCTTCACGTTTCACACTCTCACTTTTTCCCATCCCTCTTGCTTTTCAACCCCACTCCCAATTTTTCCAGCAGGCTCTTGGGATTTGTTTCCAATATCCACCGACTCCTTAAAGCTCCTGGAGTCATGAGATGAGGCAGAAAAACGATTTTTTTTTTTTTTCCCCTTAAATCCTTCTTGCCGAAGGAATCAAAAGGAGGAGATGCCAAAACTGTCAGTGCTGATGCTTCAAAGCAGAGGACCCAAAAGTCATTATATTCTAAGTGCGCCATGAATTTTCCGTCGATTCATGTTTCCGGGCATTGATTCATTATTTTCCAGAGCCCAACCTCAAGAATGGATGAAGCCACGGTGTGGCCGAAGGATTTTTGGCAACACAAAACACTTGGAAAGACGAAGGAGGCCTTGGGACATCAGAGAGAGCTTCCACCTGCCACACACTGTTTATTTGAGTGCCTTACATGGGAGCCAAGCTGCTTTGAAATCCCGGCTCCTCATGACTCATCCCGCAGGAATTAAACAATTTCCATGGGCAGCAGCTCCAGAGGCTGCTCCTCCAGCAGCAGCTCCGGCTCAATTCCTGCTCAAAGGATGAGGCTGGGTTGTCCTGGAGAGGATGGGGGGTGGTGGAGAGTCAGACTGGTCCCAAAACTGCCTCAGATCTTCCTCAAAACTCCCTCAGACCGTAAAAAAAACTCCCTCGGATTTTCCCCCAAAACTTCCTCAGTCTGTCCCCAAAACTTCTGCAGATTTTCCCCAACTTCTGCAGATTTTCCCCAAAACTTCTGCAGATTTTCCCCAAAACTTCTGCAGATTTTCCCCCAAACTTCTGCAGACTGTCAGGTTCGGGGCACTCCTGGGTGAAGCCAGTGAGGGAACGGAGCTGGGCTTGGATCCATGGGATGGGGAGAGGGAAATGGGGGAGAGGGAGATGGGATAAGGAGAAGGAGATGGGGAGAGGGAGCTGGGATGGGGAGAGGGAAGCAGGATGATGTGGGGAGGGAGGAGCTCCAGCAATCCCGGAGCCCCCGGGGCTGAAGGCGCCGAGCGCCCTCGTTCCCACGCTGCCATGACATTTACGTTCGGGCTGAATTACGGCGGGTTTGGTTTACATCTCTCCTAACAGCTGGAGAGCAAAAAACGCACCCCAACCCCCTCAACACGGTGGGAATAATAAGGAAAAGCATCCCTCACCGAGCTTGGCGATGGGCCAAGGGCTCCCCGTGGTGCCAGGGGCGATGCCAGCACTGGTGGCCACACCAAGATGTGGTTGGAGAAGGAAACTTGGGGAGTTTCCATCCAACGGAGCAGCTCTGTGGCCACATCCAAATTCCCAGCACTCCATAGAATCACGGAATCACAGACTGGTTTGGGTTGTAAAGCCCATCCAGTGCCACCCCACACCTTCAACTATCCCAGGCTGCTCCCAGTCCTGCCCAAACCCGGTTGAAATTTTCCCTCATTTTGGATTCGGCAGAGCCAAACCGGCTCTAAGGGCTGAGGCACCAGGACAAGGCAGGGATTTTGGGACACTGACCCATCCATCCTCTCCACATCCCCATCCCGGACACTGAAGGGCAAGATTTTGGGAATGAGCAGGCACAGGAACCCCCCAGGAAGCTCAGACCCGCCCTGAGGAGATGCCCTGTCCCATATTCCCAAAATTCCCCAAGCCCACCGTGGTGACGGGAGCACAACAAATCCTGCCAGAGAGAATCCGGGAGCTCTTCCAGAGGAAAAGGAGGCACAGAGGAGGAAAATCCCAATTTGTGCCATGGCCGAGGGGCACCTTGAGCCATCCCCGCTTGGCAGGGACAGAACCCAAATCCCCCGGGATGGAAATCCCGGCCCCAGAGCGGCTCCGGTGACCCCAACCCCGAGACCCCGCAGCCACAACCCTCCTGTCCCTCCCCACCCCCAGGAGCTTCACCCAGATCAATTTTGGGGCTGGATTTCCTCCCGGGACCCTCGGGACAGCCGCCGGGGCGGTGCTGACCCCGTTGGGCTGCGGGGAAGCTGCCGGCCCGCAGGGATAAATCCATGCCTTGGGAAGCTGCTGCGGAGCCTTTGATTCCTTCCCCGGAGGTCTCGCGTGGGCTTTCATGTCATTAATTAACGGGATCAGCAGCGGGGAGGAATCCCGCTGGATTCCGCGGGGATTTCCGCCGCCTCCCCTCGCTGGGACCAGTTTGGGATCGGTTCAGTCCCAGTTCAGCCCAGGCTGGGCTCAGCTCATCCCCGCAAGGGCAATTAATGGTGCTGCTTGCCCTCCAGCCTCGGCTTCCCTTGGTTCGCCCCCATCCCCGTCCCCGGCGCTCGCCGGGACACGCCGGAGGTTGGGAATGCAGCTGCAATATAAATCAGCAGGAAATAAAAGCGTGGTTTGATGCAGCACAGCTCCCTGCAGTGTCACCCAGGCCGGCTCGGGGACACCCGAGGGTGTCTGTGCAGAGCCCGGGGACACCTGGCCGAGGTCTGCCCCCACCCCCGACACCTCCAGCTCTGAAAAACATCATTAAACCCCGCACATTTCGGCGATCATTATTCCCTTTCCAGCTAAAAAAAACAGGCAAAGCATTTAAAAGTCGTAGTGGGGTGGGCATGGGAGGTGTGATCCCAGTTTGTGATCCCAGTTTGTAATCCCAGTTTGTGATCCCAGTTTGTGACTCCAATTTGCGATCCCAGTTTGTGATCCCAGTTTGCGATCCCAGTTTACGGTCCCAGTTTGCGATCCCAGTTTACGGTGCCAGCCCAGTGTCCCCACTGACCCTGGCAAGGTGTGACAGCCCCGCCAAGGTCACCACGGCTGCAGCAACCCAAAAACCTCCCTAAGCCGATTCCGTCAGACCTAAGCAGCAGCAAGAGCCGCCCTTCACGGGAGGAGGTGAGTAATTAGAGATTAATTGCCGGTGAAATCTCTCTGGTATTGCCCAGGAGCGGAGCGTGCCTCTGGTGAGGTAACACCGAAACGGGGAGCGAGGTGGGGATGTCTGCAGGAAAACTTCCTGCAGACGGATCGCGGAGAAAATCAAATTATAGCGCTTGAAATCCCACCAAAGCCGGCATGGTTTCTGTGGCCACGGAGGAAATCAGGGGTGACACCAGCCAAGGACCCCCCACCCACTGCGGGGCGCCTTTGGGTGCTGCTGTGCCAATCTCCTGCACTCCTGACTCTGCTTTTCCAGCCCAAATTTCCCCTCTCGTGCCAAAACCTGGACTCTGAGTGTCAATTATTTTTGGATCCGGAGCGACTTTCCCGCCTCCCCGGAATTAATAAACCTCCCGACGCCAAAAAGGGGCGGTTTGTCAGAGGAAACTAATTACTGTGGCTTGTTTGAACAATCCCAG